GCAAGCGCGAACGGTGGTGTTTCTCAGACAGAGACACATAGCCCCGAGCTATGTAATTCATTACTAAAGCAATCTCACCCTGGCACCCTCTCTAGCCTGCACCCTGCCGGCAGCCCTGCCTCCGCCCCTGACCCATCAGAGCCGCCCGAGAGAGCCCGCACGTTATAATATAAAAAAAGAAGATGGGCGGCGGCGGCGGTGGTGGTGGCGAGAGGGTGGGTTGTACGGGAGGACGAGGGGCGAGGTGGCGGGTGGCGCGTAGGGGGGCCAACAGCGAATACGGGGGGGGAAGAGGGTGCAGGAGGGTAGGAGCGCCCGATTAGAATAGCGCCCCCTGACAACAAAACAAAATGAAACACAAAGCAGTGTTTTCATAATTAAAAAGATTGCGCGCGCTTCTTTCTTCCTACCGTTTCTATTCATGCCTCTTTTCATTTTTTCTTTCTCTCTCTCTCTCATACTCTATTTTCCTCTTCCCCTCTCTGTCTCTCGGTCCCGGTTCTGCTCTTCGACTTCTCCGTCCCTCGCGCGCCTTCTCATTCTCTCCTCTCGGACGGAGACAGTATATGTTAGACGGAGAGGCAGAATTCAATAACCGTATTAATACGCGTCGTCTTTGGAAACGAGCAGATGTATTAAAGCGTTTTAATCAACTCTCGCGTGGGCGCGAGGTCGGATCTGAGATCGCGAGTGACTTTCCGGATCTATAGGCGTCTGGTTGAAGTCAAACGCGAGCGTATTTTTGACCGAGCAAGCTTTGCTTTCGTTTCGATCGCAGATCCAGCACGGATGTTCGTAGCTCGCAAAACTCGATGAAGAAGCGCTATACGGATTACACGTTGGAGTGCGAAGAATAGAGAGAACTAATCAGTTATCCAGTCAGAGTACGCGCAGCCGAGACCATAACGACTAATCAAATAGACGGATAATGAAATATGTATATTAAAAAATTTATTATACATACAATCACTAGCGGATTCTGACGTCAATAATGGGAGGGTTTCGGCACAATTATTTGGTTTGATATTTTTCTTATTGTTAGTATCATGCTTAGTTTTTACTCCGGGATCAACGACAAGAATGTAGTGAAACTTTTGGGCCTGATTTAACATTTAATGCATTTTTTCTCAGATTTTTTTAAATAGATCCAGCAAAACGGATTTCATTTATTTGAAAGGGGGTAACTCTACCCTCTCCACCCAGGATCCGCCAGTGCGTACAATAGACCGAGTCATCTAACTTTTTTTTACATAATATTTTTTTACATGATCTAATAAAATTTAATTAAACTTTATTATTTATTTTATCACCGGACCAATAAATTGTAAACAAAAATCGAGCGACAGATATTACAATGCGTTACGGTGTAGTGCTATTAATTGACAATTAACAGAGACTGACGGTAAAATAGAGTGACGGATAATCGAAGTTCTATCGCATGTTGAAGCGCGATGATCAGAACGTACGTCCCTGTCCTGCATCGAATCGAATTTTTCCCATACACCTGTCTGCTTGCTAATTGAAAGGAAAAAAAAACGAGGACGAGAGTAAAGACAAAGTCTGTAATGCGTTTGCAGTCAATGCCAAGTATCAAAGGGATACGAGCTCGGGGGGAAACGTAAATGACGCATCCCGGGAGACGGGCACCACAATGTCATCAATATACGAGATTGCGTCAATCAAATGATTGCATATTTGTCCGCTCTTTCGCGGACATTCGACGAACCGAGGCAAGCCCGTCGCTAATTTACAGAAAACTTAACGGGTGTCTTCGTTGTCGAGGACACCCTTATTTAATATATACGCAATGTAACATGTAAGCACAAGAAATTTATGACTTTAATGTAATTGAGACATTAAACTCTCTTCCTTCCCAAAAAAAATGTTGGTAAATAATTACTAATCAGATCTCTGTTATTAAAAAAAATAGAGAGATTAGTAATATCTACATATATATATATAGTCGTACACACGGAAAAAAGTAGCTAAATTTAGTCGTAAAATATGGATAACATTTTTTTGCAGCAAGAGCTATAATTTAGCAACAGTAGCAAAACCTTTTTTCTCGCTGCAAAAATATAGCTCTTGCTGCAAAAAATATTACAATAGTTATCCATATTTTACAATTATAAGATTTAGCAATAGTAGCTAATCTTCTTTTCCGTGTAATATATATAAATATTATCTTATTTTGATTAATAGAATTATAGAGTTTGGAATTAAACAGTAAAGAGTTTAGCAAAATGTTTTAACTACGTAGGGGAGACCGGGGCGAAGTCGTCACTATTTTTTCGATGCCGATTTTTAACAAAACAAATAATTTTAGTAAAATGTGGTATACCGTTGTAAAGAGTGAACCCTTTGCTACAAAATTTATACGGACATTTTTGGCCTACGTCGCTTTGTTCAACTGGTATAGAGTGAAAAAAATGCAGAAATTGAAATGTCAAAATTGCGGAGTCGTCACTCCATTCTCGGACTGAATTTTAAATGAAAAATCATAATTCCGATCATGAAAAATGATAGGATACATTTTATTAATTATTTTTTAATAGAACAATGGAAACATTAATTAAAAACACGATGGCGGAAAATACTTACAAGAAAAGCGCGCACACTTATGTGCCCTACGTTCGCACGTTTCTCGTCAGCTCTATTCTGTCATCTATACATCTCTGAGCACACGCAGCACATATTATTCAAGTTCTCGCCGGAATCCGACCACTGCTGCTTCTTTGACTTTGATTTTCGCCGGAAGCCTCCATGATATGGCTTGATGACGACTTCGCCCCGGACACAAGTTTCAAGTTTGGTCGCTCATAAAATATTAGAAATCAATGAAAATAAAAAAACTTTACTGGATTCGTGTTCAGCATGCATTACTCTTTAGAATCACTTACTTTGAGATTCGGAGACACAATAATATTTAAGATATTACAAATTTTCGACGCGCAAAAAATTTTACTTTTAACCTCCGAAAACATGTTTGCCTCGATAAGACTCACGACATGGCACATAATCTCATTAAACTCCGTTGGTCACGTGGGGACCATAAGCCACGTTTACGGTATTAATGGCGAGTTCACACAACATACAAATTTCGAGATAATTACAATGACGACTCCACCCCGGTGACGACTTTGCCCCGGTCTCCCTTACATTTTATACATGTATTCTATATATCAAAAAAGTCTCTTAGAAATGCACATATGGGAAATTAAATTAAATTAAAGAACATTATTTAATATTATATTTGCCTCTCAAATTATTTTTCCAATGATAAGCGATTGAAAGTTAAGACGGTAACCGGGTTTTAACAAATTAAGCCTTCAAAATAAAGAAACAAATTTGCACAATTAATTTTTCTTACTACTTCGGTCGAAAGTACGTACTTTCGGCCCCAGTTCCACGGCAGAAAGTCTCATTTTTATGCCTTGGTTAAACTACATGCGCGCCATCTAGAATAGCGGGAGTAAAAATTTAGTTGCGTGCACTGGCACTCAATATACGACAAGATCCCTACCACAATATTACCACAAACCCAATTCACATCGCCCCAACCTCTACTTTTACTTTCACTCGTATAACCTAAAAATTTGTTTACAGTTAGTCAATGATAATGTTTATTAGTAAATTCTATTCAGAAAGTGATTGTGATTAGTGTAATAACAGATATAATAACCTCAGTTGTTAAAATAAGTTTTGTAATTGTGATACAAATAAATAGTTATGTCTAAACATAAACACAATTCCTTTAATTAAAGTGTATTTATACCTTTATTTATAGATGCATTTGATTTGATGCCTGCCCCCGACCAGCAGCACTCGCTTCGCTCGTGCCGCAAATGTCGGGGCAGGCATCAATATCTTCAACACACACATGTCATTCTTCCGTACTTTCGACCAGGCAGCAAGAAAAATAGTATACACTACACGGGCTCTCGGCTTCGCCTCGAGCACGATGGCGCGCAGTGCAGGAATCTCAAACTTTCTGCCCTTGTAGTGTAATATACTATTTCGATTAATTCCAAGCAAATTTTCAATTTTCTTTAATTCTGGAGAAAAGAAAAGACAATTTAAATTCGTAAGAGAAACGTTCGCCGAAAGAAAATCCACCCCGAATTAAAATCCGTATAGAAAGCACGGCGACTTTTGACACCCGATGTATGTGTGTATGCACTTACGTCATGTTTAAAGCCTATCGATGATCGATGCCACCACCTGCGTCCCGATAACGTCCCTGATACGTTTTCCGAGGTTTTGCCCCTCCCTCTCCGAAAGTCGAAGGAAACTGCCTTGCCGAGCGATCAAGCTTATTTCGCTTATTTCCGCCTCACGAGAACGAAGACGAGGAATTGAGAAGAAAGGCAAAGACGGAAAGAGAGAAAATAAAATAAAGGAAAGTAAAAAAAAAAGAAACACACACACGTACACGCCGGTGGAAGAGGATCGTTGGGGAGAAACGGGTAAAGCGCGAACGAAACGCGGGCGAAGAATGACGAAGAAAGAGCAAAAGCGTGGGCGGGAAAGAGTTAACGGTCGGGGATAAACAGGATAGAATATATAGGCGAAAGGGTTGGAAAGGGGAAAGAGGAGCGGGAGGAGAAGGAGGAGGAGGCAGACCACGATTTAGCGGATTTTCAACGTAGCTGCACGTCTACTCGCGGAGGAGGTAGTGCGCGATTCTTAACGCGGCGGAACCGCCCCCCGATGCCGCGCGACCAATGGCGCGGCCGTTTCCGTGTGCGCGAGCTCGGGGGGTTGCGAACGGTCGAGTCGCAACTAAAATCCCCTCGTCACGCTCTCACCCTCCCAGGAACGCAGTGACGACTCACCTCGCAGTGCTCTCGCCATGTTCGCGCCGAGCGAGCGGCCCGTTCCGCCACGACAGTGAGAGAGGACCTCCGCTGGAGTCGGCCGGTGGAGTCACCAGAGAGGGTCGTCCTCTTCATCCCCGTGAGCGGTCGAGGAAGCGCCGCGGGACCGAGCGCGCGCGGCCGCCCGCCATGGCGGGCCCGTATCTGTCGCCCCTCGGGCCCCAGGCAGATCTGCTCACGGAGTACATGTTCGGCCGTCGTCGTCAGGTCAGTGTACGTTTCTATTAATTTCACACATTTTTGGAATCTTGTCGTTAAGGTCGATCGACCCCCCGTTCGTCGTTGATCGGGTTCGACGCGGTTCTTTGGTATCGGCCGGTTTTTTTCAGAGTATTCCTCCGTTTTCCGAATATTCGAGTATTTGCATTGTATACGTTCGAGTAACTTGATTTTCAGAGCATTCCTTGACGTAAAATATTTAGGTATAAATACGTGCCAAATGAAAAAATAAGAACGAAACTTGTGGGCATAGTTTGGGTACAATCATATAAAATTAAATGTATGACGACAAATAATAATATATAATATAGATATAGAAAAATATACTTATGTATTATGAACGAAATGAGTATTTGATATTTTGTAACAACAAATAGATATCTATACAATTTTTAATTTATTAATAAATAAAGAACAGGCTCGTATATATATATATA